AAGTAGAATGGAGGAGTACTAAAATCGCAGAAAAAATTAGTGGATTATACCAACACTACCAAGGTTGAATTTATTGTTGACCCGAAGGTTTTATTCCATGGTTGAGTAATTTACAGCTATTTGCAAATATTTAAGTTGATCAAGTGCCAGTTACTGCCAGGGGAGTGTGCAGATTGGTTCTTTGACAACATTATGACATGATCCTATTGCTTGCATAGACGGTACAGCATGTCCTGGCAGAAAAACAGCATTTTGACGAATGAGCATGCGCTCAACCGTGAACCTGTCCCTTTAAGAATCAGCAGTGAGAATAAAGGGAAACAAACCAAAGGAAAAAAAATGATAAAAAAAAAAACAAAAAGAAAAAAAGTGTGCAATGTTCGAGAGTATGCATGGCTTCTCCGGGATTCTAACTCGCTCCCCGGAGGACTCGCTCCCTACGTACATCCTTGACCACTGCGCCACGCAGCCACTGAATATTGTTGCTCTTAATTTATTATACTTAAAGCGTTTTTCTCTGCCGTGAACGCTGTTTGAAGTTGGTGGAGCTGTATTTATCATAAATTCAAAGATGCATTTGAGGAAAATTAGCTTAAAGGCGTATTTCAAAGCCAGTTGCAGAACGGTTATTTCGGTCTTATAATTCTAGGCTCGATTACCAGCCGCTGTTTTGGAAATGGGCCCGAGCGCCTCCCCCGAGGACCAAGAAAGCGGCGAAAATCTGGCCTATCTTAATTCACTCTCGGGTTCAACGGCGGATGGATGCTTAGCCTGCAGTGCAGGCGTATCTTGGGCGGGCGAAAGCTGCTTGTTTATCATGGGGGGTTCGTATTGTTGTAGCCGCCATCTTTCATTTTTTGGCGCGTCCAAAGAAAACGCCTGCACTGCAGGCTAATCGGTGTTCGGAGCTGAAACCAGTCTCTGAGCTTTGATTTGATCAATCAGTCACATCGGCGGAGAAAGAACAAATTTATTGTTGGTTTGCATCGGTGTAACGTGAATGCAAAGGTACACATTTTAGGGGAAGCAAGGTTTTGACGGTAGAAAGCCAAAGTGAAACGCACTTTTCTATAAACTCCATGATAGTGCACCACCGCATTCGCACTTGAAGTAGCGTTGCATGGCAACCCAAAAATGTACCAAGACGTCACAACTGGATGATGCAACTACGAACACCCAAGAGATCTGTAGAAATAATCACAACTCGAGTTTCTGCCTCGCTGTGCGCGAACAACACGCGACAAATTTATAAACATCGCGAAGCGAGGTCGGCGCCTCTCTTCGCTCGGGAAGACGCCATTCAGCATGACGTCATCGTGAAGGCAACACTACTGGTAAGCCCCTGGTAGGCCAGGGGTGCTTACCATTTGACAGGAAATTTCGGAAATTCCGGATGGAAGGTAAATCGTAAGGTCACTTTTCGGAAATTCCAACCGAAAATTGAGGGGTACATATACGTTTTGAGGAACTCCGTTCATTCCAGTTGGTACGAACCAAACGGAATGTTGCGGTAAACTGGTAAATCGCTTACCGTTAGGCTGTCGACACTGCAACCGGATTTTTTTGTCAAATGCCTTTTAAGCACTCCAGGGCTTATTTTATTGATCCTCTGTTTGCTGTACGTCAAAAGAGGTAGGGGATAGGGAGGAAGAAAAAGGAAGGGGGATTGGGGAGATAGGGTACTGCTCGTAGTCGACTCGTAGTAGGATTCCCTCGTAGTCTAGCTCCCTTCCTTTTCTCCCACTTTCGCACTTTTCTCCCTCCCCCGTCCCCGTCCCCTTTTTGTGCCTGCCAGGAAGGCCGCGGATACTCTGAGGCAAATAACAGCGGGTTGCAAACACTGCAGTGCTCGATTCGAGAAGTGGCTACACAGGAAAAAATAACGGATTCCGATTTTTGGATATTTTAGGGTATTTAAAAAATACCCATAAAAATCCCAAATTTGGCAAAGTGAGCAAGTCCCAACCAGGGAATTCCCAGCCAAGGGACTTGTCTCACTCTTCCATATTTGGGACTTCTGTGGGTATTCTTTAAATACCCTAAAATATCTAAAAATGGGAATCCGTTATTTTTTCCTGTGAGCTAGAAATCCGTGCCGTGGAAGATTTATGTGTATTGGTAATAGCATGATTTGTAGTGATATTTGGCATAAATACCACGAGTGACATTTCAAAATTGTTATACGTAATTTCACGAGCCGTTAGGCGAGTGAAATTTGACACAATTTTGAAATATCACGAGTGGTATTTATACCAAATATCACGTACAAATCATGCTATTATTTGTTTATACTACTACCCGCAAAAAGTTTGTAATTTTCACCTGTAGGCATTTCAATTAAATTAAGCTGGGATACCACTGCTCTAAGCCAATCAAATTGCCAATTATTTAGCCTACGTGTAGTCGGGGGGAGGGTGTAGCCTGCTAACGGCAGACGTTTCTCCTTGCTAATCGCCGCTAAGGGACGTTTCACCGAAATAACGGCGGACATGAACTTCAGCGAAAGCAGCGAAGAATAAGGCGAGCGCATTTATCGAGCGGCCGTTTAAGCCCAAGAGTGAATACACAGGGAAATAAGGCGAAATGGCTTTGAAGTACTCGTTTAAGGTGGCTCCGTCATTAATAAAGGCGCATTTAGCTGTGACGAAGTTTTCGTCATAACTTTTTTGTTTTTAACGCGATGGCTGAGAAACTTTGGAAAGAACAACAGATATCATTCGGCAATAGTACGAAATGTTCCGATTTCGTTGATGGTAAATATATTTTGCTAAATTAGCGCTTAAAAGGACCATACTCATTCAAAGAAAATTGCTTCTAGTAAAAAAAATTTGCTGATATTTTTTACTGAAATTTCTGGTATCGGCTTTAATTGATATAATAAATATGCCAGAGGAATTTCAGAAAAATCGTTGGAGCAGAAGTCCGTAACTAAAAGTAACTCAAACTTTAGCTGTGAAGTTGTTTTGGAATTTCAAAAATAAACTACTATCGGGTAGAAGGAGACACCAGTTTGAATTTTCGGGACAAGTACTAAATTCAATGTTTGCTAATTCTTAAAACAAAAGCCGATTGCCTTTCGTGCTATTCTTTAAAAGGTATACTTTTTAGTTTTAGAAGCACTATAAATTGCTCCAATTCTTGCTCTGAAGTAGAATGACTTGTTCTTGACATCTTTGAAATATCCCTCGGCAGTTTTGGCTCAAACTCCTGCTACGTACATTTTGATGTAGTGCAATGCATTTTCATTTACTGCCGTTCGTTGCTTTCAAAAAGGTATTGAGATTGGACGCTACCTCGTATCAGAGCTCAGATAGAACTGTCCAACACCTTTTTTTATGACTACAAAATGAGCACGAGTGGCAGTTCTGCAAAGAACTCGCACCTCACCCAGGGGGGACGAACGACAATGATGCCCATACCTGTGAACCGAATTACATCACAGTGGAAAATCAAATTATCGCAAAATACTGCCCGTGAATAAATTTACAACTCTGAAATTTTTGTCACTCCTTCCTTCAATGAATGGGTAGTTTTTTCTTGATTATTATGTTTTGCTCTGCAATACATGTTTATACAGATCGGTTCGCAGACATGGGCATCATTGCCATTAGTCCCCACTGGCTGAGGTGAGAATTCCTCGCGGAGCTGCCGCTCGAGCTCATTTTCAAAAACAAAGGTGCTGGATAGTTCTATCTGAGCTTCGATACAAGGTAGCTTACAATCCGAATACCTTTTTCCTAAATTGGAAGCAACGTACAGCAGGAAAAGCCGTTGAGGATGCATTGCAATACATCAAAATGCATGTAGCAGGGGTTTGAACCAAAACTGCTAAGGGATATTATAAAAATGTCGAGGAAGAAGTCATTCGACTTCAGAGCAAGGTTTGGAGCAATTTATAGTGCTTCTAAAACTAAAGAAGACCTTTTAAAGAATAGCACGATAGACAATCGACTTTTGTTTTCAGAATTGGCAAACATTGAATTTACTTGTCCCGAAAATTCGAACTGGTGGCTCCTTCTACCTGACAGTAATTTATTTTTGAAATTCTAAAACAATTTTACAGCTGAATTTTGAGCTTCGACTTTTAGTTACGGACTTCTGCTCCAACGGTTTTTCTGAAATTTCTTTGGCATATTTATTAGATCAATAAAAGCCGATAACAGAAATTTCAGTAAAAAATATCAGCAAAATTTTTTGCTATACGCGATTTTCTTTGAACAGTATCAAACAGTAGGGTCCTTTGAAGCGCTAATTTCTCAAGAAATATTTACCATCAATGAAATCGGAAAATTTCACATTATTACCGAATGACTTCTGTTGTTCTTTGCAAAGTTTCGCAGCCATCTCGTTAAAAACGAAAAAGTTATGACGGAAAATTTGTCACAGCTAAATGCTCTAGTATTAATTACGGAGCCACCTTAAGCTATTTTTCCTCAAATGCATCTTTCATTCTTTGAATTCATGATAAATACAGCTCCACAAGGTTCAAACCTCCCTCCCTCCTGTCATGATGAAACTGCACAGCTACCCCTAGACTTGCCTATAAGTTGAGCTCAAGTTTTTTCACGAGCGCCGAGCGTGAGCGGTAGATTTCTTATGCTTTCTGCGGCAAAACCGAGCGAGGCTAATAACTACTCGAACCGGAAATGAGAAGCGAAGGACTAAGCTACCCCCAGCATAGTCTGCTACACAGCCGTTTTCAGTGTCGTCACGCAACGCTCCTCCCCACTTTGTGGGGAGGAGCATTGCGTGACGACACTAAAAAGGGCTGTGTAGCAGACTACCCCCAGCAGTCCCCCCAGCAAAACCGTCTCGAAGCGAGTGGCAAGAGCTCTGAATGTCAGCCTGTTTCTGTCTGTGGCAAAAATATTCCTATCCAACAGGCAGTGACGTCTTCACTGTCTCCATAACCTTTAAATCTGGTACGCTGTTGGATGCGACAACTGTAGTACAAGTTTTCCATACAAGACGCAAACCAGTACTGAACATCCACTGTCAACATGGCGGCTGAAAATAAGCCGGCGGGAAAAGGTTCTCACGTTTCTTTACTGATGCACAACTTAGAAGAATCGAAAAATAGCGAAGACGGAAGTGACGACGAAGAAGAAAAACAACCAGGGAAGCTTCTTGCGGAAAAAAGTCGAACTGTAGATGATTTATTAGACGAGTTTAATGAAGCGTTCAGAATGAAGGTAAGCTTATTTTTGAAAGTTCTCTCTGATTGATGACCATGTCCAAGTACAATCGATGCATTTAACGGTATAAAAGTATATAATGGTAGACTATTTCATATGACAGTGGCTCGCGCTAAATTTCAACTCAAAAAATTTTTCAGCAGAAATTGTTCAAATTGAATAGCAGTTGGTTATCATACATAGGCAGACCAGCAATATCTTGTGGGCGTTTCTTTCATTTTTTATTCCCCTGTATATACTTTTGTAATTTTTTGTCTTGTTTGTAAAAATAAAAATAAATAAAAATAGAGATAAATGGGTGAATAAATAACTAAATAAATGAATAAATAAACAAACAAATAAATACGTTATAAAAATAATCAACAATGATTATTAAATAAAGCTGAGTAGCTTGTGAAGAATTATGCAGATGGAGGAGACTGTTATCCACTTGGGCAAATGCTGTAGTAGATAACAGCCTCCTTGGTCTGCATAATTCTTCACATAATATAGAAGCCCAAATCAATAATTCCTGTAACCCTTCTATTAAGTGTCATGGGGAGCTTATTTATTTCAAACCCATTTGAGAGGGGGCTTAATAGAGATGGGAGATTATTTGAGAGGAGGGGGGGGGGGGGGGGGCTTATTTAATTTAGGAAAGATAATAGTATCAGTTCTCCATAAAGGACTAGAATACAAAGTGGAAAAGGTCAGGTACAAGAAGTTGGAGTCTTGCAGCCGAGGATCAGTAAACCATCCTGGATCAGTCCACACAAAGTTTTACAGTCGTGATTGATTAATATTATCTAATAGTTTTTATTGAAAAATAATAAGGGGAGGGAAGAGGGTGAGGCTTAACAGAAAGAGGAGGGATTAACTTTCTTTGCCCAAAAAGGGGGCTTATTTGAGGGGGGGGGTGATTTACACTAACAAATATTGAATGAGGCTGAGTGTCATCTAAAGAATTATGGAGATTGAGGAGGAATAGCACCCTCTGAGATCTCCATACTTATAATTCTTCAGATGATGCAGTGCTCAAAATTAATTTTTTTGATAACTTGCCCTTTGGGTTAGTGGCCATAAATTTTACCAGCCAAATTATTCAGTTTATTATCCAAGAATCTGTCCTTGAAATAACATTATTATTCATTCAAAATATTTCACCGTGTCTGATTTGCTAAAAGTATATGCATAATTCATCATAACCACCTACTATTGACCAAATTTGGAAGAATTTTGCCATAAATGAACCGATCATGATGTCAAAAGTGCAGCAAAGTTGCAGATTAATGAACCATTAACCGAGAAGACCTGGGGACAAGGTTGTGTTATTTTGGTAGTGAGAACCAAATGGCTGAACAGTTGGCACAACCTATTACTCGTTTCACGGCAAACTGTTGTCTGAAAACGTAGCAAGAATAGCTAGAATACAACTTGACAGATGACATTATTCTGCTATTTGGGGTATGTTTGCGGACCTGCTCTCTATCTTCTAAACTTCTGGGCTCAAAGTTTAAATTTGAGTTTGGGAGCGCTTGTGCTACCAGATTTGAATTTTCAGGTGCACAGCTGAAAATTTTAGGAGCTCAGCTAACAATGTTCAGGGAGCATCTATTTTAAAAGAAAAAGTAAAAAGCTTAACAGTGCCATGTTTATAAGTATGTCATCTTCAGTTCACGTTTTGCTGCCAAAATCTGAGAAACTTGTTGGTGGGCGAAGGTGGCTGTCATCTTATGATAAATCTATTGTGCAAATTTTGGAAGTATTTGATGTATTTTTCACAAGGTATCTTAGAAGAACACACCAAAGTTGTTTTTATGAGTAATGCACTTATGTCACGTGTTTGCTCATGTGCAATTTGTTTATTAAGCTTAACTAATGGGCAGAGTTTTTCACCATTTCTGTGTCATTGAATTGTTTCCATAAGGATAAACAAACTTTAAGAAGAAAGAAAATTAACAGTTATATGTTCTCGGACATATGCACAGTTCAATATCCAATGTTCAGCCGCGATTTTTACAGCTCGGACCCTGGTAAAAATTGAGACAGATTTTTACTGTTTTTGCTGTTAGTGCGGTGGCCTGATGCTCAATTCCAATGTCTTACTAGTTCAAGTACATAAGTATGGTGTGAAACAAGTCAGTTGCCTTGTGCTTTGGGTTTTATGGTGCACAGGTGCGATTACACATGGTTTTTTTGGCGCACAACCAAAAATCCAGTTGCATATGTGACCAGTTAGTCGTTAATTTTGAGCCCTGAACTTCCTGATACTATCAAGATGAACTTAACATTGACACTGGTAAGCATGTTTTAGCTTGTTTTTAAACTAGGAATTCTTTTAAATGAATAATAAAGCAATTTTTGAATTCAGCTACTCAGCCTCATTCAATAATTGCAAAATATTTTAAGTTTTGAAAATAGTGCTAATAAAATGGGGAAACCTAATGTATGGATGTATCGTTCAAATTATGTGATGGTCTGTAATAAGAAATATAGATGATTTAATGTGCATTTACATTTTCCTTTCATGTACTTTACATGAGGGCGGGAAATTCACCATAAACACTACAAAATTTTGTTTGTTTTAGACGTCTTGATTTGTAGCCCGAGCTGAATGCCTTTTTAGTTAAACTTGGCAGAAAGTTCATTCCTTCTTCTAATTCTTACCACCTGTGGGAGCTTTGTGTAGTGTTAAAATTGAAATTACGTATACTTCTTGTCTGTTGTTTTCCTAGATATTCCATTTCCTCTTCACAAATTTCTGGCAGTGACCGTTTTCTGAAAAAAGCTATCCAAGGATCTCTGCATCTGATCTGCATAATAAATAGGTTGCAGAAACAAGCCACTTGCAAAAGAAAATGAAACAAATGCAGAAACGAGCAAGTTTTCGGAAGGCTGCGCTAGATTTCCTCATCCACAAAAACCTGGTTACCTTGAGTTCTGTGAAATGCGCATTTTTCATGTTGTTCGATTATGCTGTAAGCATATCTTTTAGAACAATAAATTGTCTGAGATAGAACACATCAATCTTATGCAAAAAAGAAATACATGTACATGTATAGCCTGGGACTAGTGGATTTGCTATCGGGCTAGTGAATTCTGTTCTTAACTTGCCCAATGGGCAAGTGATTTTTTTGGGGGGGAATTCAAATACAGCTAGAAGAACTGTAATCAATCCTGCTCATGAAATCTTTTTCAGGCTTAAGTTGAAATGACTTTTGGGCTACGGTACATGTTAGCTATAGCTCACCCGAATGGCAAGCTGTAAAACTGGCTTTCTTTGCACCCTGCAGATAAACCAGATTTATTGTTGATTATGTTTTTTTTGTTGTACTTTTTTTTCTTCAGAAAACCATCAGTAACCTGACACACATTCCCCATGATCAGATCTGTTTTTGTTTCTACAGGTTCGAGAAAAGTACAGCTCATCAGAAGATTTTTCCTGGAGCAGTGCTGCAGATGAAGTCAAAGTTGAGCTGTTAATTGAAAGCTATGAAAATGGTGGTAGAAAACTTTCTGATGACCCACTCCTTGTGCTGCTTAAGGAATGGCCTGAAAGTGAAAAGTGTTGGAAAAATCCAAGATTAATTGAGTCGCAGGTAAAATATTTTTTGTATTATCTAACTATGAAAACTACATGTATTAAACTGTTGAATGTGACTAGTTTATACATTCACAGACCTTGAATGCTTACAATTTCCTTAGTTTGCAGTATCTAGCAATTTATAAGCCATTGGTTCATATGGCTGAGTAAGTAAGTAAGTAAGTAAGTAAGTAAGTAAGTAAGTAAATAAAGACTTTTATTTTATGAGGGTTAGCATGAAATAGCAGGAGCTAATAAACTCGTGGCCCTCTAAAAAATAAATAAATAATAATAATAAATGAGTATGCTAAGCTGTAAAAAAATACAAGGTAAAAACTGAAGAATACAGATACTATGGAATCTACTAAACTATTTAAAAGATAAAAATATAGCATTATAATCATGTCACAATTCATCAAGTAACTTAAATAGAAAAATGATCAAGATCAGTTCTGCTGTTGTTTAAAAAAATAATTCATTCCACAACGCTTTTTTTAAAGAGTCCACTGAATCCCTTTGCCTTACAGGCAAAGATAAGCTGTTCCATGTTTTGCAAGTTTTGATGGTAAAAGTTCTGCCTCCTTCTGTTTCGTGATTATACCTCGGAGAGGCTAGGTTAAAATTACAGTATCCGGTTTGTGTATTGTGGATGTTACTGTTTAATTTAAGTAGATTGTTTATATAAACAGGGACATCACCTTGTAATCGCTTATAAGCAATTATACATTTAGATATTAAAGGCAAAAAATCAAAAAAGGCAACCATTTCAGCTGATTAAACAAGGGAACTGATGGTACTAGAGGGGGGCATTCAGGATTACTCTAGCTGCTCGTTTTTGGAGCTTCAGGACCCGCCCAAGGCTTTCCTTATCACAATTAGTCCAGAGGACACTTGCATAATTAATTACTGGCCTGATTAAAGCATCGTAATGAAGTAATCTTTGTTTAAGGGGCAGATAATTCATAATTTTCTTTAACAAGCCGATGTGGTGTGAAACTTTCTTACAGTCATAATATCAGAGAAAGATAGCTCTTCATCAATCTCAAGACCTAGTAGCTTTAATAACGTTCGTAATGTTAGTTAACAAACTGCCATTGCAAGTAATCTCAGGGTTATTGTTTATTTTGGTCGAGAGTCACTTTCCCTTCACGGTGAGGGCCTTTGTCTTTTTTTTGTTTAGTGGAAGCCTGTTGGCTAATGCCCAGTTAAAAACTTCTGATACAGACGTATTAAGAGATTTCTGCAGTCTACCCATGCTGCCACAATTTGCTAACGATGTGCTTGTAGTATCATCTGCATAAAGATTGATTTCAGAGGAGCTGACATGAAGTGGCAGGTCATTAATAAAAACTGTGAAAAACAGGGGGCCGAGTATACTGCCCTGAGGAACCCCATGTTTCATAAGCGCCTTGTCTGAGACGCAACCACCCAAATAGACAAGCCGGTGTCTGTCCACCAAATAAGACTGGAACCACTTCATTGTTTCACCAGCAACACCATACACTCGCAGCTTATCCAGAAGAAGACCATGATCTACCATGTCAAAGGCTTAACAGTAGTCTACCAGCACAATGCCACTAACTCTAGTCTTATCTAAATTGAAAAGCAATTCGTCAATTATCTGTATGAGAGCGGTGTCTGTACTGTGATTCTTCCGAAAACCAGACTGGCGAGGATAAATCAGATTGTTTTCAGTTACAGATAACTGTATAAGGAGTCATGCACATTAGTCTCTCGATAACTTTAGAAAGGACAGGTAGCACAGATATTGGTCGAAAATTCTGAACGTCATGTGAGTCACCATTCTTGTACAGAGGAGAAACTTTAGCTGTTTTCCAACGACTTGGAAATGATCCACTGGCTGAAGTGTAACCTTTTTTCTGAAGCATTATTGAAGTACTGATCCTGTGTTACCAGTGCCTGTGAGTCTAGGACTAGTTCATCACAAAGTATTGGACTAGACTATTATAAGTGATACAGTTATATATACTGGTTTGTGTTTGTGGGTTCTTTTCATGCAATAGGCTCCAGTGTTAAGCAATTTGTGGGAAAACAAACAGACAGCTAAAAACTTATTACTCTGCCTTAACAGACATCTTGAGTTGGTCCCTGTACTCCTTTTATTGAACTCTCTATAAGAGAGACAACTCTCTAACACAGACACATAGTTCCAGTCCCATAAAGGTGTCTGTCAAGAAGACAATTGACTGTATAATTTGACCTTTCATTTATGAAGACTGTGTTATTTTGTGTTCCAGATAAATCGCTTGATAACAATAATCTTTAGGGATCACAGTTCAAGGAAATACAAGTACTTCAAGGACAAAGATGAACTGTCTTGGAAGACACCACTCCATCTAGTCGCAGAGCTTAACTTTGCAACTGTTGCTCGTACCGTTTTACGTCACTTCCCAGGACAGTTATATGTGACCACAAACCCACATTCTGGTAATCACAATTGCAGGAGAATTCCTGTTGAGTTGGCATTACTGAGCTGCAATGATGATGTATCTGCTTTCCTCATAGACAACATGAAGCCTGAAAGGTATTATTGACTTCATTTTTGCCTGTCTTTTGATGTTGACTTTGTTCATAAGTTCTACAGTCAGCAGACCCCTCTTTACAGACACCCTGGCACTTAAAACAGACATGTACCTCATTATTACAGACCAATGCTTTGTCCCTGGGGAGAGAATAGCCCTGACATTAATTTTCTCTAAATTCGACCTGCTTTAATAATACAGACACCCACTAATATGGACACTTTCTATGACCCCCTCAAAGTCTTAACAGGGTTTGATTGCTGTATTCAGAAGCACTTCATCTCTTGCCATAACCATTTCACTTGTTTTGACTTGTAGAGTCCTTAGACTTTTTAGCTGTGAGTTCCAAGAAAATCCCATAAGCGTTCAAGAGCTGGCAGAACACTCAAACATGAAGGTATAGGAAAGATATAATTATGTAGTGGTTCTGTTTTATTTTTGGTTTATTAATTTAATTATCAGTTTGATAGGAAAAACAATAAAATTTGAACCCTGGAGGATAAAATACCAAGTTACACATACTGAACTGGGAATTCTTTCCACGCTGGCATGTCTTTTATAGGGTGATATAATGTCATCCATACCAAAGTCAGTATAATATTGACAGCTTTTAATATGGTTCGTCGTCCACAGGGATGTCCATATTGCAGTCTCAGGCACAGTACCTGTCTAGGCCTGCATTATGAAATGTACCAGTTATTTTTTTTTCATTTGAACACAAGCTCAATATCAATTGTTTGTGTCAGAGGTATTTAAATTATTATAGTTTGATTGCTTCTAATAGTCAGGTGTCAATAATTTTGAATTTAGAACACTGAACCTTTTTTTCTGATTCAAGTGTTTTTGTTTTGCCCTCTAAGAAAAGTGTTGTTGCCATCTTGAACTGTATGGTGTACCCTGACTGGAGACACTTACCCAAGTACAAAGAAGACTATTCATCTCAACTGAAGAGGGATATTGAACTTGCTTGGGACTCTGAGCCAAGTGAGCCCACTACTTATGAATTTTACTACAAAATACTGGATGGAGATAATTGTGGTAGAGATCCTTCTGATAGGGAATACAGCTGGAAATCTAAGTCTTGCCTTGCCTCAATTGCTAACAGTACAAATAAGGTTTGTAACTGGCATTGAAGTCCTTTCATTGTTCCATTCCTTGGAGTGGGGTGGGGGGGGAGGGGGATTGGTGGGTAATCCAGATTCTCAGTGATAGGGATGATCAATGCATTTTTTAGGTTTGAATATAATATCCATTCTAGAATTTTTTGGGGAAGAAAGATTTGGGGAGTATTTTTTGTGTGTCTTGAATTAAGGAGGTTTTTTGGGGCATTCAAAGTAATCTGAAATTTTGTTGAAGTGTTCAGATGTAATGGCTGAATAGTTCAGCAAAACAAGTACAGCCAAACTTGTTTTTTGTTGTTGTTGTTTAAACTTTTAACACATTACATTGTATCTCATACATTGTACTAAAAATGCCATAGACGGTTATGCATACCCCACGGAGGGTCCCGCTGCCGGGGTGTATCTATAAACAAGGTTTCATTTCATTTACAGCTGTAGGCCTGTCCATTGTGTTAATGGGGTGCCTGGATTAATTTTTTGGGCTTGGTTGGAAGTCCTGGGGATTTTTTGGTTTTGACTTTTGCTTCCATTGGATCAACCCTGTCATTTGGAATCCAGAGCACCTCACCCCCTTGGGGTTATATTGCAGGAAAACATCCACTTGAGCCCCTATCCTCACTCTGGAAAAAATAACTTAAAATGTCAGCTGTTAGCTATATATATGTAGTTCAAATGACATTGTCAGTGTGAATTAATCACACCTTCTCTGCTTGCAACTTGTTGCAGAAAGTAGAAAAACCTTTCTTCAGCCCTGAACAGCAGGTTGTTTAAGGTAGCAACCTGAAGCAAAGAAATACTGTTTATCATATCAAGTTGCTTCTTCAAGGTAAAACAAGCAACATTGATTTCCAACAATTTTGCGTGAAATGGTGCATGCATTACTTAACTGTGCATTTAAGAGAGTGAGTAAGAAATGCAGCTGTAGTTACATATTTAAGACCTATTTATTCATTATACACGTCACTTGGGATCAGAAGGGCAGTATTAAAAGAGAAACATGTCTCATGTATTGTAAAGTAATTGACAACATAATTATTTGTGGCAGGATGATCCAGTGCCCACCACTGTTCTTGATTAGTTTTCATGACTAAATAAGCAAAGTATTTCTATTTCATGTTTCCATGCAGGAATCCATTCAACACCCAGTTATAAGGCAGCTTGTTAAAAGGAAGTGGAAAACATTTGCCCGTTTTTGGTTCAGGTGATTATAATGTTAAATCTTTGAAATCTGACAACTGGGAATAGAGATTAAATTAAGATGGCTCGTTTTTTAAGTAATGATCCCAGTAGGGTGGAAAGCAGCATTTAATTTTGTTATGCGGCAATGTGCTTTCCCCACATAGGAATATTTCCATTTTTTACACAGAGAATGAGAATATCTTATTAATAAATCAAATTTACACAAGGTCAGTGCTTATAGCTTAAGATCTTTTATTGCGCCTATCCTTTCTATTCTGAGAGAATCAGGGACATTTCAGCACTCGGCAGCAACTTAATTTTTAGTAAACTCCCTGTAGCTCTTAGAAACATGACTGATTACAATAATTATTCCTTCTGTCGTTTTTATTATTAAAACTACAGAAAGGCCGTTTACGTGGTAAATGTATCTAAATTCCATTTTGAAATGTTGTTTTGTGTTAATAGATTTTGACCAATTGTAAGAGTTGCAAATAGTAGCCAAGAAAAGTTCGATCTTGTTTAAAAGTTTACAATTTTACTTTGCATATATTTTTGACTGAAATTTCTAGTAGTAGCTTTTATTGATAATTATAGTAAGTATGCCAAATGAATTTCAGAGAATTATTGGGAACAGAAATCCGTAACTAGAAATTCATTTAGAATTCAGTGTACAATTGTTTTGTAATTTCCGAAGCAATTTTTTTTAATTGCTCTGAGGTACAGCTGTAGAATAATCCACCAATTTGAATTTTCAGGACAGAACAACTACAGCCCTAACTGATAACGTTGTGTTGTTGTATGTTTTATCTTTAACAGATCAAGGCTGTTTTCTTTTATGGCTTAAAAGCTGCTTGTCATGAGTTTCGGGATAATAGTTACACTATAGCTCCTTTCATGAGATATTCAGTGCTCCGAGACTTTAGCAGGAGCTTTTAAAGGAACAGTATCCCGTTACTGCGCATGCACCAAACTTTGATTTTTGGACAGGATGTCGCGAAATCAAAAGACGAGAGGAGAGTAAGAGAATCTTGAAAAATCTGTTTGCATCGCGCTTGGCCGGGTTCAATACGACACTAAAACGTCTCAGGATTATAGATCAATGATATATTGTTCCTGTTAAGTTTCCATTTGGGCAAAATCTGGATTTTTTGGCGTTGCTTTTATTGCCGTTGGCCGGAGGACCAAAAGATTGGAAGCTCTTTGATGCCGATTGAAGGCTTATTTCTTCTGCTAGCTTCCATAAAAGCTCAGATAATTGTGAAAGGAATACGCAGAAATGAAACAGCAACAATAAAGACTGTAAGAAAGAAACCGTTGAGACATTGATGTGACTGAGGAGATCTTGTGGAGGGGAGTTTCGTGAAGCAGAATGTTTTGAAACGACGCGTTAGTAAACTTTTAAATGAATCTCCCTACGGCCGACAAAATCGAACAAACGGGCGCTACATGTTTTGAAAAACTAGTGACATGAAATCATAATATCATTTTTGAATAACCTTTGTGATGATTCATAGCGTTGAGATTGCATTTTTATTTATGTCTTTCAAACGTTTGAGGCTAGAACGCGAGCAAATCAGGCAGATATTACTGGACTTGGAGCGTTTGACCTCTGACACGAGTTTCAAATTAGAAAATATGTTTTTAAAGCGAGCGGAACGAGATTTTCGGGTCGCGAGGCGGCCCAGCTAGCGATAAAATCGCGATGAGTCTTCGAACCGCGAGCCAAATTTTCATATAAGACGAAAGACTTCTTTGAAAGTCTAAAATATTACTTGAGAATATAAACAACAAATCTCTGTCGGCGGTGCGGTCCGGAAGGAAATCTTGTCGAGTCAATTTGACAGTTCTATTGTCTTTTGAAGGAAAAACAGATGACGCTCACGCGTGCGCATAATCGGGACACTGTCCCTTTAAGATTGTCATCAGACATTTGAGGAAACATCTGGTTAATTTGTGTCAACTTTACTAATGACAAGTTTAAGAAGTTGCCCAAACTTAACCTTCTTCAACTCCGGACACGCATCCATGCCCTTTTTTGATTTTCCTGTATTTTTCTTCACCAGAAACTATAATATTTTTACTATGATAATTAAATTGAGGAGGCATTAGCTAGGGTAATGAATAAATTTTGTAACTATTACTCTGGAATAAACACTGCAACAGATGCAATAAATGAATAATGAAGAGTTTTTGTTTTGTGTTTTTAGTGTTTGCACAGGTCTATATGTGACATTTTTGTTGCTGTTGTCATTTGCCTTGTTCTATGGTTCAACCAGAGATGATCCAACCCAGTACCATGGCAGTGCTGATCACCTGAGAATGCTCTGTGAGATATTTGTCGTAATCTTCATTGTTGGCTATGTTGCTGATGAAATCAATGAAATGGAGAAGTATGTTGTCACATGTCATAAACACTAACTTAGGGTTTACATTGTATTTCTTTTGGATTCAGTTCCTAGAAAATCTCTTTTAGGTCCATGGAAACTCGATCCGCGAATTTAACTTCTCCTTTTTACACGGAATTTTCCTTTTAAATAAGTTATTTTGTATATTGTATGATTATGGAAGGATGTTGGGTCATAGTTTCTGTAGACTCTTTTTTCGTGGCCAGTAACTTTTTGTTGAAATGTTGTATAAGTGGTAAAAGCCTTAAGTTCTGTCAGGCCCTGGAATTCTATTCTCTTCTAGTTGTTGTTGTCATATTCTGTGTTAGTAATAAGAGTCCACTTCATAATCATATATAATTTATCGTCCTGTTGAATGAAGTCATAATTGAACTATTTGATTAGACTTCAATAAGTAGATCGATTTTTTTCAAGGGGATAATAATATTGTGGTTCGTCCCAGGCAGATTGGTTTCTCTAGTTGCTATGGTAGGTCAAATTGAAAATGAGTTCAAATTCCAATTTGTTAAGCACCGGCTGAACCAATCTAAAATGCTTAAGTGCTAGATTCAGGAATGTTTTGTATAATATTAATTATTCATATAGTTACAAACATGGTCGAACATGGAATCTCATTGTTTTAAAGAGGTATGAACAATTCCACAACAAGAAATAGCTGAGAAATGACCAAGTTTTTAAATTATTGCCGAATTGCATTGCATTGCATTGCTTTCACTTAGAAGACCCATATATTACATTTTTTTTCAAATTTTTTTATTACTGTTAATATTAAAATAAATTAGTTACCGTAATACAACGAAGGGACATATTATAGTAAAACAAAGTTAGCCCCCCCCCCCCAAAAAAAGAAAACAACAACAACAACAACGCTAATGAAAGCGTACGCTTAATACAGCCAAGGCGCATACAATATTGATACAAGCAAAACAAAAAACAAAAAAACAGCGCATGTTTGAAGTCATTAACCCGAGAAGTCACAACACATATCAGAACTGATGCACAAGGAGGTCCATTTAATCCTGTATTTGGTGTGAAAACACCCCATGAAATAAACGAAATGAAAGAGGAAATACTATGGAACAAGCATTTTATTACGATAGGTGGAAAGTCGATTTTTTATAAAGCCTGGGCAAGCAGAGGCATTCAAATATTAAACGACCTCCTGGACTCTCATGGTGTATTATTTCGCTTCGAAAACTTCAAAAGTAATCGAGAAAGGTGCAGCGTACTCCATATCTGCGTCGGTCGTCTCGCAGCGATTCCCAAAAATTATATATTGCATTGTCATGGCAACCTTAGATGGACGGCCTTGTGGTAACCTAATCTTCCTCAGGCTAATGACACCACCAAGCGTTGTAATCAGAATTTGGTTTGTGTTGCAGGGAACGCTTGAGCTACCTTAAAGGAGTTCAGTTTTATTACAATCTGTTTGACTGGCTTGGTTTGATCCTGATTTTGATTGTGATTCCACTTCGCTTCTCTGAACATGATGCACAGTGGGTGCTAGCTTCTCTTGGTTTTTTCTTCAATGTCCTTAGACTGTTCAAGTACTCATGTCTTACAAGGTACTAAAAATGAAATGACGTATGGTTACAATAGATAGGTGGGCCGGCGTACACCTGTAAAAGAAGAAGGAGAATGGCGACGAAAAGATGCAAAAGGCAAAGGGGAAGAGGGGACGGGATCTATTTTGCATTACTGTAAACACTGGCAACTGTAAATTTATAATTGACTGGCTGAGCCATGTTGAGCACTAATTGATGGGTTGGTTTGAAACAGTTGAACGATACGCGGCTTTTAGGTGGTCAATCTGTCTTCTGTGGCTCACTTGTAGCCTTGGTGGGGTAGCTGACTCAGTTTAAATAATAATTATTTTTTTATCATTGATCGTTTTTCTTTCATATAAATCATTTGTTGCAGGGAAAATAAAAATTATTATAATTTCGCCTTTGGTAATTCCGTTATCAGTTTAGGAACTGCACTGTTGGGAACCGAAAATGACCTCTGCCCTCCCCCCGCCAAAAGAAAAAGGTGTTTTTTCAAATGCCAATTGAGAAAGAGGTTTCTGAGAGCTTCGTGGCTCCGGCAAGCAACGACGACGGCAACGTCAACGAGAACGACCAAAATCAATAGGTTAAGATTGGCAAAACAACCACTCTGCACGTGCAACACGCTTTTGTACATTTCTTCGCCGTCACTGCACCTTTACGACGTGAAACTTCCTAATTTCACGTTTTGTTGAGGACGTGAACATAAGACGACGAATTTCTTTTTTTTTCTTTTTCTGAACTTCGATACAGTCTTTTAGAATTAAACTCGAGAGAAAATTGCCAACATATGACGAATTGAACGAGATGCAATAAGCGCGAAAAATTTTGAAGCAGCGCGACCGACTTCACTTTTTAAGTGACGTTTTCATAGCCGTCGCCGTCGTTCTTGATTAAGCTCCCTATTATTTTTTGAAACGGCTGTCGTTTTGTTGCATTGAAAATGATATTGATTTTTCCAGAGAGAATTTTGCATTGATCAGCCCATCTACAGTTGTAGTTAGACTCTTGTATTTTGTTTTGCCATATGATGATTATGATGATTGTTGTTGTTGCTGTGTTTTTTTGAAGGACAACTGGACTTTACACCAAGACATTAGCCAAGATTGTTTACTATGACATTGCGCGTTTTACTGGTGTATTTCTGGTCATTTTTCTGGCATTTTGTGGGGCATTCTTCTTGTCATTGCGAGCAACCAATGCAGTGCAAGTTTTTGGGTAAAGTTTTTATTTTTGTATGTGTTTGGGTATTACCAGTTTCCTTTAAGGCAATAAAAGTATAAGGCCCCGTCCACTCTTACCGGATAGTTTTGGAAACGGAAATATTTTCTCCGTTTTCGAAACTGAATAAGCGCCCACAAGGATGCACACAAGCGTCTAAAGTGAGAGAAAAACAACGAGAGCGCTGGCCAAAAATTGAAAACAAATTTTCACATGTATGTTCAAAATAGAGGCGTAAGTAAATCATACTGTGCTTTCAAAGAAAAGATGATACAACAAGCTTGCCTAGTCCCTAGGCCTCATTATTCCGCGTGGGCAAATCGTTTGGGGTCACGTGGTCCAAGCGAAAATGTGAACGTTTCCCGCCCGTTCACCTCGGATACGTCACTGAAATGAATTGACCGATAGGGACTGGGAAAATGCCGTACGGGCAAACAACAAGCAAAGTTAGAAATATATAAATGCATGAAAATCGCGCGTTATACGCCATTAACATTCTCCAATCTACTGATCGGCTCCCAGAAGGTCGCATAGAGCTGGAATGTCATTATTCCTAGCTGTGGAAAATTTATATTGAGTTAAGGTGGCTCCGTAATTAATACAAGAGCATTTAGCTGTGACAAATTTTTCGTCATAACTTTTTCGATTTTAACGCGATGGCTTCGAAACTTTGCAAAGAACAACAGATATCATTCGGCAATAATACGAAATATTCCGATTTCATTGATGGTAAATATTTCTTGAGAAATTAGCGCTTAAAAGGACCCTACTGTTCAAAGAAAATCGCGTCTAGTAAAAAATTTTGCTGATATTTTTTACTAAAATTTCTAGTTTCGGCTTTAATTGATATAATAAATATGCCAGAGGAATTTCAGAAAAATCGTTGGAGCAGAAGTCCGTAACTAAAAGTCGCTCAAAATTCAGCTGTGAAATTGTTTTGGAATTTCAAAAATAAATTACTATCAGGAAGAAGGAGACACCAGTTTCAATTTTCGGGACAAGTAAATTCAGTGTTTGCTAATTCTGAAAACAGAAGCGGATTGCCTATCGTGCTATTCTTTAGAAGGTATTTTTCAGTTTTAGAAGCACTATAAATTGCTCCAAACTTTGCCCTGACGTCGAATGGCTTGTGCCTCGACATTTTTAAAATATCCCTTGGCAGTTTTGGTTCAAACTCCTGCTACATACATCTTGATGTATTGCAATGCATCCTCAACGGCTTTTCCTGCTGTACGTTGTTTCCAATTCAGGAAAAAGGTATTGGGATTGTAAGCTCCCTTGTATCGAAGCTCAGACAGAACTGTCGAGCACCTTTGTTTATGACCAGAAAATGAGCACGAGCGGCAGCTCTGCGAGGAATTCGCACCTCAGCTTGGTGGGACTAATGACAATGATGCCCATGTCTGTGAACCGATCTGTATAAACATGTATTGCAGAGCAAATCATAATAATCAAGAAAAAAATACCCATTCATTGAAGGAAGGAGTGACAAAAATTTCAGAGTTGTAAATTTATTCAGGGGCAGTATTTTTGCGATAATTTTATTTTGCACTGTGATGTTATTCGGTTCAAAGGCATGGTCATCATTCTCGTTCGTCCCCCCTGGGTGAGGTGAGAATTCCTCGCAGAACTGCAGCTCGTGCTCATTTTGTAGTCATAAACAAAGGTGTTGGACAGTTCTATCTGAGCTCTGATACGAGGTAGCGTCCAATCTCAATACTTTTTTCCTGTGTTGGAAGCAACGAACAGCACTACAAGTCGTTGAAAGTGCATTGCAATACATCAAAATGTATGCAGCAGGAGTTTGAGCCAAAACTGCCGAGGGATATTTTAAAACTGTCAAAGAACAAGTAATTCTACTTCAGAGCAAGGTTTGGAGCAATTTATAGTGCTTCTAAAACTAAAAAGTACCTTTTAAAGAATAGCACGATAGGCAATCGGCTTTTGTTTTAAGAATTAGCAAACATTGAATTTACTTGTCCCGAAAATTCAAACTGGTGGCTCCTTCTTCCTGATAGTAATTTATTTTTGAAATTCCAAAACAATTTCACAGCTGAATTTTGAGCGACTTTTAGTTACGGACTTCTGCTCCAACGATTTTTCTGAAATTCCTCTGGCATATTTGTTATATCAATTGAAGCCGATACCAGAAATGTCAGTAAAAAATATCAGCAAAATTTTTTAGTAGACGCGATTTTCTTTGAACAGTAGGGTCCTTTTAAGCGCTAATTTCTCAAGAAATATTTACCATCAATGAAATCGGAATATTTCGTATTATTGCCGAATGATGTCTGTTGTTCTTTGCAAAGTTTCGCAGCCATCGCGTTAAAATCGAAAAAGTTATGACGAAAAATTTGTAACAGCAAAATGCTCTAGTATTAATTACGGAGCCACCTTAACAATATTCTTTTTCTTTTCTCAGAGGGTTTGATAAAATTATGTTGAGTGGCGTCCGAGCTCTGGTGGAACAACAGCCAGCAGCTGATGATTACTCAAGATACAAGTAAGGTGTGGTTGGGGATTCGCTAAACGAGCTTATTATAGCATTTTTATAAGTAGACAAGAACAGCTGTATTTTTCTTGAAAAATCCTAAAGTTCTTTGAATATTCAACTCAGGCAGCGAAAATATTTAATAAGCATCAGGGATATTTTTGCATGAGTTAAGAACTTCTTAATGAATTTTAGGCATTTTTGTTCATTAGTATGATTGTGTTTTTTGTTCTCAATTTTGTCAAGTTGAATCGGAAGTTTTTCATTTGTTGTAAGGATGACGGTAAATCTTTCTCTTGTCTTTTTTTATGACTTCAAGTTGGCTTCCTGTGGTTTTGCTACTAATTTACATGACAGCAGTAGTGGTTATACTTCTTAATATTCTGATCGCTCAAATGAGCAGTACGTACACCAAAGCCAAGAAAACAGCCAAACTCCAATATGACGTGGACAGAATGCTGATTATAACACGACTTGAGTATAGCAGGTTCCGTCGATTTGTAAGTTTTTTTTTTCTTTTTCTACAAAAACTCTTGCCCTATCTTCATGTCTTCTCTCTTGGAACAGGCTAGAGCTCTACTGTATATCCGAAGTGTATATGAATATTCCTTGAATAAAGTTATACATTTTAGATGAATTTACTTATATAGTAAATTTTAACATTTATTAATAAGCGTCTTAAATGTCTTGTCCTGTGGTATTTTGATAGGCAGCGTAATTTAGTGCGTGTTGATTTAATGTTAGTCTGTTTTATGTTAATTGTTTGATTCTTTCTCTTTTAGCTGGAAAAAGTTTCAACTCATTCGCCCTTGTCAATTTTGCCGAAACTAGACTAGTCGTGCCCTTTTCTGGTCACTGTCTGGCTATAAGAACTAAACCTTACCAAATACCTGTTTGCAGGTCTTGCACTTAGTGGCCTTTTGCTCCAGATGCAAAATACCTGCTTCCAAAGTTAGGGCATGCGCAGATTTTGAGTTGAATAGTGACACAGCAGTCTCGACTGTTTCTTTTTGCTTCCTCTCCTCCCCTCTTCTTTCGTTTTTTTTTTGTTCTTTTGTTGGGCATTTATTCGGCTACGGTGGGAAATGATTTCGGGAAAGCGTTTAGGAAGGAAGAAATGGATGGAAGGAAATGTGGGTGGGGAATGAAAGGAGATTTTGGTCAGAACTTTCGTGTTAACTTTGTATTGTTTTTTGTCTTTTTCACGGTCTTCTTGGCTGAATTGTGCTCTTTCTGGTGTGGTTTTAAAGATCTCTTCCTCCTGCACAAGTAGTCTCTGGTATGGTTTTAAAGATCTCTTCCTCCTGCACTAGTAAGATGTCAAAGTTTTCCTTGTCCGTTAAAACGGGCAACGTCTTAAGCGATACAAGGGACGTGGATCCGCACGGGGCGGTTACAGGCGGTTCAGGGGCGAATGGGTCAAAGGATTCCGCTATAATTAAGCGAGTGTCAGCTGTGATGCTTGTTGCTCTGTGATTTTTTTTTTCATTTTTCTATTTTAGAATTTACGTCTTAGGCATTACCAGGAATGTGAGGTTATAGACGAGATGACTTTAGCGCAAGGTACTTAACTGATGTAACTATAAAACATTTGCTCGTTAAAGTTGAAGTCATCATGTCTCCGGGCATTGCCATGGATAGGCTGAATCCTTAAGATCTTAATCTTTATCTTTTGGAATTTGTTTGTGTGTAGATCTATTAGAGAACAGCGAGGATAGATCGCCATGGGAATCAATCGAGGACAAGCTTGAGGAAATTAGGTAACTTGGAATACGTACGTAACTTGTTGTGAAATTGAGTGGTCTCTTTTCGTACTATTAACTGATATATTTAGGATATAAAAGTTGATTTTTATTCCGGATCAAAATCAAAGGCATCCCAGGTGGGCTGTATGTCCAGTAAAAGCTTAGGAGAAAATTGATGATGCGTAGTTCTTTTCTAAGAGTTCTACGCATTTTTCTACGCTGGCTTCAGCTCAAAAGTGAGTTGAACTTACAGTTCACCTATGGCAACTTGTGACAACATCGGCGCTTTTTGTACTTTTTAGTTGCGTTGTGGAGGTATTCATTTCCTTTTTCTCTTATTTTTTGTAGGAACATTATGCGGAAGATCATTAAGAGGATTTCTATTTCCAATGAAGATTGACAACGTAGCTTAACGGATTTCAACATCATTTCCTCGACTCAGCTTACCGGCTGAGAGCGCATTATTCATCTTTCTAGTGCTTGTAGCCGATAAAACGCGCGCTCTGATTGGCTAGCTGCTAGGGCATAAGAAAGACAGTGAAGCCACAGCGTTCTCTGGTTACGAACAAGTTTACGAAAACAGCCAAGAAGAAATTGAGAGTTTCTTAAAAGAGCAAACAAGTGAAAACACGACCGGGAAAACTTTCAGTGACATGAAAGCATTTCGGCGTTATTTATCTTCAGTAAACAAGGGAAACGTTTACCTGCTGGTGACCTTGACCACTTATTGGCGAAGTTTTTCAAAAATGTCCGCAAAATTAATGCCGACGATTACGAAGCTGACACGCTGTCTGGTTTACGACGGAGCATTCAGAGGTTTCTTTCCGATGGCATTTCTCCATTCAACATCCTTGTTGTTAAGGAATTTGAAATGTCTCGTAAAGTTCTAGCAGCCAAGAGGAAAGGTTTAGTCCAGAAAGCCGGCATGGGGAACAGGCCAAACGCCACCCGCGTGGTGACAGATGAAGAAAAATACAACTCTTTAAAAGTGGCCAGTTTGGTATTTCCTGTCCTGTTATCCGTCGAAGCCGTAGGCCGAGGCGGATAACACCCTCCGAGATCTCCATAATTCTTCATAAGATACGAAAGCCGAATTCAATAATTGTTTTATTATTTATTTAAAATAATTCCTAGTTTAAAAACATGGCTAAAACATGCTTACCTCCATCGATCCATCGATGTTAAGTTCATCTTCGATAGTGCACATTTAGGGTTGTTCAGCTCCGCAAATAATCTCCAAATAGGAGATGTCGCCCTTCGAGTTGTGTTCTTGCTGTTCTTGCTATGTTTTTGGCTATAATAATATACAAGAAAAAATTTCTCGATTGTGATTGGCTAAGAGAAATGCAGTTTTTAGGTAGAAAAGGGTAACAAACGTCACATTCTGATTGGCTAATAAACAAAGGAACTCACTGAGAGCCAATCAAAATGCGCCATCTAAATGGCGCAAAATTTGGATCCGCTCCGGACCAGTTTGGAGCAAAAACCGCAATGGTTGGCGTTTGCAGCACATTTGCTTTTGCGACCGAAACAACTGTAGAGGAGCTGAAAAACTGCTCTAAAAAACAGAAACACTGGAAAAACACTGGTTTTTGGCTCTCTGTTTGGAAGAATTGGTGCGGAAATTACTGATAAAATAGAAAATTATGAGCCGGCTGAGCTTAACACTTTTCTCGAGCATTTCTACGCCGAAGTAAACAATAAAAAATGTGAAGATTATGAACCAGAAAGCCTTAAAGTAATGATGGCATCGCTTGATAGACACTTAAAGAACAAAGGCTGCACCCTGTCTATTGTACGTGACGAAGAAATTAGTTCGTCAAGAGTGGTGTTGGAGGACAAAGCGAAACAGCTTCGCTTGGCTGGCCGTGGTAAGCGCCCAAACAAAGCTCGGCAAGTATAAGAGGAGGAAGAAGAAATTTTCTGTAGGAGCTGAAAACTCGAGGTAATAACCCAGAATCTTTAATTCCAACACACTGAACAATTCAAAGAACTGTTCAGCCCGTTTCTGCAGCTTACAAACTTTAAAAACATCGAGCAAAAGGTTGTTTTGACTGCACGTGTGATAATATTTGCAGCATTCGAATAATTTATTTTTGCACGTAGTTTACGCGTGTTGACTCCCTATCAAAGTGATTTTAAAGCAATTTTTTCATGAATATTATTAATAAGTAATCACATGATTTTTTTCGTGCAAATTGTAATAATAATAGCCTTTGAAAAAATTTACTCGTGCTTATTTATTCCAAATTGCACTCGAAATCATGTGATTACCTTTACTTATTTCGCCTAGTTCCTACTCTTGAAACGAGTGAAATGTCCGCCATTTTTTGTTTTCACAACCAAAAGAACTCAACCTCGTCCCCAGGTCTTCTCGGTTAACGGTTCATTAACCTCCAAGAACGCTGCAGTTTTGACGTCATTTCCTCGTTAAACACAAAATTCTTCCAAATTTGGTCATCAGTAACTGGTTATGGTGAATTATGCGTGTGCCTTTAGCCAATCCGAATCGGGGAAATATTTTGAATGAATGAATAATAATAATTAATGAATGAGGCTGAGTATCTTATGAAGAATTATAGAGATCGAGGAGGGTGTTATCCGTCGAGGCCGTAGGCCGATGCGGATAACACCCTCCGAGATCTCCATAATTCTTCATATGATACGAAAGCCGAATTCAATAACTGTTTTATTATTCATTCAAAATAATTCCTAGTTTAAGAACAAAGCATAGTTCTTCATATGATACGAAAGCCGAATTCAATAATTGTTTTATTATTCATTCAAAATAATTCCTAGTTTAAAAACAAAGCTAAAACATGCTTACCTCCATCGATGTTAAGTTCACCTTCGATAGTGCACGTTTAAGGTTGTTTAGCTCCGCAGCTATTCTCCAAACAGCAGATGTTGCCCTTCGAGTTGTGTTCTTGCCCTTCTTGCCATATTTTAGCTATAATTTCGCCTAGTGTTTACTCTTGAAACGAGTGAAATGTTCGCCATTTTTTGTTTCACAACCAAAACAACTCAACCTCGTCCCCAGGTCTTCTCGGTTAACCTGCAAGAACACTGCATTTTTGACGTCATTTCCTCGTTAAACACAAAATTTTTCCAAATTTGGTCATCAGTAACTGGTTATGGTGACTTATGCGTGTGCCTTTAGCCAATCAGAATCGGGGAAATATTTTTAATGAATAATAAATAGATTTAGCCAGGGCTAAAAGCGAAGCTCCCATCAATAAATTTATGATTTAAATCAAACAATAAACTTGTAATCCACAAATCAGTTAACTTAAGGGCAAATTCATGTGACTTTTGTGGGAAAGGCTAAGTGATTTTAGAGTGAAACATCTTACATCGAGTTGATAGCCATAATGATATATGTACACCCAAAAAATAGCAATCATCTTCGATCACATTCAAGAGCCATAATGCATTACGGAATCGCGCCTGTAGAAACGCGTCGTTAGTAAATGCAAATTTTTCTGTCAATCAAATGTGTCCTATTATTTGTAGGTGGAAATTGGTGAAACATCGTTATTGTAATGGGCTCTTGATCACAGTAGATTGAGGCCTGGAAAACAAATTCTTGGAAAACAAATCAGGCCGAATTTTTTTTTTCCGACAAGTTTACTTTACAAAATCTTGCCAACAAATCCGGGGGTGTGTAAACCAACCTCTTATGCTTTTTATACATCTGAGGTGAAAGAGTACTATTTATCATACAGACCTCGGACAGAATGCAGTATTTCACAAATTTTAAGAAAAATTGCACTCAGTCAATATTCAGGACAATCAATCGTGGGCTTTTAGCAAAACCGTTCAAGACAGTTTCCAAAATCACCTATACGGTCAGCCGGTTCTCGCTTTTGACGAGCGCCAAATTCGCAGCAAACATTAATAGAGTTACGCTTCAACGTAATAAAGAATTTATTATGTTAATTTTTTTATTTAAGGGTTTTATAACGATGTGTAATCTATAAAAGCGTTTGATACGCACGGCATTTTGAGTTAACTCCGGCAAGCGATGTTCTGCAGTTTTTCACAATTTTGCAAGACAAATTGCACTTATTCAATCAGTGCAGGACGATCTAAGCCCGCGTTTCCTTTGCACAACAAATTATAGAACTGATCACATTATGAAACGTTTTCATGAAGAGAATTCAGCATAATACTGCCAGTGTTCATACAGTTCAGCGAGTGGTTGTCCTATGTCATATGTAGGGTAATAAGTATGGACTTTTAGTGAAAACCCTGGTGAAAACGATCCAAAAATTCCCAAAATCACCTATACGGCCAGCCGGACGTGTTCTCACTTTTGACAAGCACCAAATTTCCAGTCCCGGCTGTCTTGTAAGTAAATGAACATTAATAGAGTTACGCTTCAACATGATAGGCAATCTTTTATGGTTAGGTTTTATTTCTTCTTGTATATGGTTTTGTTATGTGTAATCTTTAAAAGCGTTTGATATTTACGTGCGTCATTTTGACTCCTGCATGCAATGTTTATCCCTGCGTTTGTGTACGACTGGAAACAAGCGGCGCAGCGATTAAAATTGCGAGAGAGACTACTAACAATCAATAAAACAAAAGTAGATATAATTCGATTAAACGTGCACAGAGACAACAATTTTCATTCTCGAAGACAAGTATTGAGGGTGAACTGTCTCTGAAAATCATGAGTCAGGTAAGCATAAGCTTATAAACTTTGTAAACAACCTGGCAGATTTATGTTTTAAGCCGGCTATCCAGTGTTTGCTATTTTTCAAGATGAACTCGAGGCAAGAAAATCGCTCAGACCCAGTTTCTTTTTACAGCCAAAATCGTAACTAAATATTCTTAAAAACGTTTTTATTGTATTTAATTGCGGTCAGATAATGTGTAAAGGCTTTTTAAAGTTCTTTAAGCTATCAAACCTGTCAGATACTTTATCTCGTGCTTACACTAGCCGCATAAACTACGCTCCACTTTACGTAATCTGAAAAAAAGCACATCAAAGACAATAATTACTCAGGCTTACCC